AGCGCCGCGGCGTTTCCACGGCACGATCCGGCTCTTCTCTCGGGGACGATGCCCGTTGCGACGGAAGATGCCAATTCAGCTTCCGGGTGCTGGATCGGAGCAGCCGTCGAGTGGTGGGAAGTTGAGGACAGATCAAAGCCGGCCTTTTTGTCATGTCTGGAACTGGGATTGGCTGCCGCGGAAGCGGTGCGCCCCCCCCCCCCCGCCCCGCGACTTGCATGGCTTTCGGAGGGATGAAGAGATCCAACGGGGAGGAAGCTTGGCCAGTTCCGAAGCTTAGGCGGGGACGGGGGGGGGGGGGGGGCCTGCGCCCCCCCTTCGTGGGGATCCCGTGGGCTGGATCGCCCCCGTGTGGCCGGAAGGATGGACTGCGCCGGCCTCTGGTCCGATCCAGCAGGACTTCTTGCTCCGTGCCTGGCGTGGCGCAGCGCTTGGGCTGCTGGTCTTTGGCCCCTTCCTCTGGTTCTCTGCATCCCCGTTTGGCACCAGGCGCAGAGGAGTCCGCGGCGTGCGGGAGTTTGGGACTCCCGTTACTGGAGGCAGACGCGCTCCGTGCTTTGGTTGCAGTTTGCAGACCGTCCCGTGCAAAAGCGGAGGAGATGCGGCTCATCCAGCTGCGGATCCCGGATCCATCTTTTTTTGCCCTCCCCGAGGCAGCAGTTCCGGGATGGGCGGGCAGTAGGGGCAGGAAGCGGGCGAAGGGAAGACCACAAAGTCTGCACGGCTTGGTGGGATCCGCGAGGCGGCAGGAAGGTGGGCTCGTGGGGGAGGGAGGAGAAGGGTCCAGTGCGGAGGGGGAGGCGGAGCGTGGGGGCAGGTTGGTGGGAGGGAAAGACGAGGGGAGAGCCCTTCACCCTTCTCTCATGTTTCACGGGCAGAGCGCCGGATCTGATCCGGGCTCCCCGGGTGCAAAGCGCCAGAGCGCTTGCCTTGCACGATCTTCCCCCTGGGAGCCCTCCCGGAGAGGCGTTGAGCCCCGGGGTGTTCTGCGGCAGTGTGCAAACAAGAGGGGGGGAGTCCTCCGCAGCTGCTGTTGTGGGGGGGGGGCAGGGCTGCTTCGCGCCCCAGAGCTGCAGCGAGCCGAGGGGCCTTTCCTGGCCTTCAGCATCCGAGGCGCTTCTCCTCTTGGCGGAGCGGAGGAAGGGGTGGCGGGGGCCGGCGAGAATCCGGCGGGCGCCTTCGCTGGGGGGGGGGGGGTTAATCCCGCGGCGCCTCGCGCTCCCCCCCGCCCCCTCGGCTGAGCACGTGCACGCGCAGGGCAGCCCTGCCGAACGGACCGGGCGAAATCCTGCGTGGCGCCGCGGGGGGGGGGGGGGGGCGGCCTGGCTGTTCCCCAGACCCCCCCCCCCCAGCCCGCCCCCCCCCCGCGCTTGCGTTTGGAGCGGGAGGGGCGCACATGTCGCCCCGAACTCCTGGCAGGAGGATGCAGAGGGAACAGCCGTGGGGTGAAGGGGTTGGCCTGGGGTGCCTCTCTCTGCTCCCCATCAGGCAGCAGCAGGGGCCCCGATCCGCCTCCGCGTTTCTTGGGCTGGAGAGAAAAGAGTTCTGTGCTCCATGGTCAGTGCAGGGCGCAAAGTTGAGGCTGGGTGGGAGAGGAGGGGGTGGACCAGAGGACCCTTCCTCCTCCTCTTCCTCTTGCTTCTGGGGATCTGGACAGGGCCCAGAAGGAGGCCTGCAAACTCCCCTTTTGCTCACCTGCAGCCCTGCCCGGCGCAAACTTCGAGAGGTATCTGCGCCCATTCCCCATTTTGTAAAGGAGACAGGCTGACGATCTCCCTGCAAGTTTCTGAGAAAGAGGTTCAGTAGCATGTGAGTAGGGACCATCCCTTGCCTGGGATCTGGGGGCCCTTGGAGATTAGTGCTGGGCTGGTGCACAGTTCTACTGAGGCATCCCCAGGGGTACACTGGCCCCCTTGCTCCTACACAGCCCTCCTTGCATCGCCTGCCCAGAAATCTCTGCAGTGCAGCTGGGGCAGCTGTGGGCTGCCCAACAGGCAAACCACCTCCCCATGGCTTCCTCTTCCCCCCTCCTTCTGATCCGCCCACAGATATCGCTCATGAGGGGCAAATGTGGAAGCGCCGCCCTTCCACGAGCGCCTGTGGTTTCCCCTTCCTGTGGCTTCCTTACCTCCTGAGATCTCTTTGTGTCCCTCATGCAAACCCAGGTGGCTTTCCGCTGGGTGAAGAGCGGACCTCTGGGAGCTGCCTGGAGAGAACGGCCAGCCCTGGTGCTGCTCTGCCCATGGATTGCTCCTTCCTCTTAGTCCAGAGAACGTGGCCATCCCTCAAGGGGCTTCCAAGCCCCGAATCTCAGTGCCAAAAACTGAGGAGCTGGGCATGGAACCTGCCTTGGAACCACGTGGGTTGCCATGTTCTGTGAGGCCGGTCCCTCTGCAGTTTCTGCTCCAGGTCTTCAAGGTCACTCCTGGTGGCACAACTATTCTCATTCTCTTGTATACCAACCTGTGGTTGTGGGTTCCTTTCATCTGTCTCTCATGATTTTTGGGTCTCCGCAGCAGCAGCGGAGGCTGGGAAAGTGTGGAGAGAGTGGCCAGAGAACTTGTGAAGGGAAGGTAGGAGTTTGGGCAGAGAATTGTGGGGTGGGGGTGGGGGAGCAGTGGGGCAGGCAAGAGGAGTGGAGAGGAAGAGAGGTGAGGCCAGAGGGGCCCAGGAGGCAGCATAAGGGGCAGGGCCAGCAGCCTCTGAGGCTTATGCTGCACTCAAGAGCTGGGGACTCAGTTCTGGGACCAATTCTGTTCAGCCTTTTTATCACTGAGCTGAATGAAGGGAGACCCAGTCTGCTCACTAAAATCCTGGGTGATATCAAAGTGGTGGTGGTGGCCACAAGTGAGGACCAGGTGATCCAGATCAAAAGAATCTGGACAGGCTGTAGAAGTGGGCAGGGACAACAGGATGGCATTCTATACAGATCAGTGCAAGGTTTTGACACCGGAATAGGTGTCATAAGTACAGGGTGGGAGACAAATGGATGTTAAGCCAGAAGCATGGCTTCTAGATTGAGAGAGGTATTACTGCCACTTTACACAACTGGTGCACTCACAACTGGAGTTCTGCATCCAGTTCTGGGCTCCACATTGAAGGAGAGTGATAGCTGGGTCAGAATCGGTTCAAAGTAGGGCCACAAGAATGGTAGCCAGGTTGGGAGGGATGACTTACAGTGTGTGGTTGTGGGAACTGGGTCTTTTCAGCCTCTAGGAGTGGAGGCTCTGAGGTGATCGTTTAGCAAATTATAAGTAGGTGAGGGGATGTCATGTGGAGGAGGGCTGTGACCTGTTCTGCCCTGCAGTGGAGGGGAAGGACATAATCCAAAGGGAGAACACTTAAGGAACCAGGTTTCAGGTTGGATATCAGGAAGTACTTCCTGATGGTCTGAACCCTTGGATATGGAATGGGTTTCCAAGAAGCGGGGAAGGAAGACCAAGAAGGGGAAAGGGTTCATTGTGAGGTGAAAGCTCACATTCCTTTTGTGAGTATGTAGTACAGAACTAGGAACCCATGACTGAAAGGGTTCCCTTTCCTCCCTTTTCATCCCAGCCTGTGCACTCCTCTCTCTGGGCATGGAAGATGTTCCGGGGTGGCTGGACAGACATTTCTCTGGGATGCTTTCACTGGTGCCCTCATGGAGCAGGGCTCGGTGCGATGGCCTTCCCGGCCCCTTCCAGCTCTGTTATTCTGGGATTTGGTGAGCGCACTGTAAGTGAGCCTGAGAGCTGGTGTGTGGCGTGGCACTTGCACTGTTGGGGCAGGCAGGAGAGAGCCTGGCTCACAGCTTCTCTCTGCCATGGTGCTTGCTGGGCACCCACAGGCCATATCATGGCTCCATACTGGAGCACACGCCTCAAACTGCAGCCTGCCCTCGCTAACGAGCCTCTGTTCCAGACATGGGCCTAGTCCATCAGAGCGTGCCACTGGCTAGTCTTACCGCCAGGCTCTGCAGTGCAACCTCGGTTAATCACTGTCGTCTATGTTTGCCATCCGTGAACCAGCTGCTCGCAATTCTAGTCCCAGTTCCCATTAGAGAGGAGATGCACTTTGCCTATTGGTGGAGCTGGGCACGATGCAATTCTGAACAAGGCATAGGTGTGGTCTGGAGGACTTCAAACCTGCATCTAGGTAGGCTTGCAGAAGAAACAGCAGGCTCTGCTGCCCACTACAGCCCATGGGTCTTCACAGATTGACAGTTGCTGTTTTTGAGCGCATTCCAAGTGCCTCAGCAGATGAGTGTCTCTCCTTGACAGCCATCCTGGATCTGGCAGATCATTTCTTTGGGATCCCCGGAGCCTCAGAGCTCACTGCAGGGGGCTACACCCAAGTTCAAGTCCATGCATCCCCTGGTAGGGTTAGGGTTAAGGTTGGGAACAAATTCCAGTGTGAAAATGGTGGCATCCAGGAGGTGGCCTGGTTGGTGGCAATTTGTGTTGCCCCATAAGAAGGTGATGCAGGAGAACGGTTGACAGTTTGGATCCTCTCTTCCTTTTGGTGGGCCCTGTGATTCTCAATGCGATTGTGCATTTTCTTATGCCCTGTTAATTTCCATTTGTTAAGAGCTGCATCAGAGTGTTGGACCCTACGATCTCTGACATGTTTTGATTGATCCTTGACTGTTGGTGCAACACACCAGTGCAGCAAACCTTTTTCCTCCACTCAGGACAAGGTACTTTGCCTAGCTGCCTAGGCAGAAAGGAATCTCAATGTGTGTTACTTCTTCTCTGCAAATACTGTCACTGAGGAATCTAGATTTCCATGAGACATTCGAGGGGAAAAGTGAGAATACTGGAGCTGTTGAACAGAAAGATGCCTTCTTAGAGTTGGATTGGAATATTTCCCCTGCTTTCAGGCATTAATTGCTAACAATAATTTCATTTCCTCTGTCTCCCCGAGCAGGTGAATGGCAAGACAACACAAGTGATACGGATCCATGCCCTTGTCACCAGAAACAAGTAAGCATGAAGTGAGAAAGGAGACATTAGGAAAGTCAAATAGGAAAAGGAGGAAAAGGTCCTCCATTTCCCAGCATCTGTGTAGGCACTGGACTCTGTCGAAGTCAAAGATCCCACATTGTTGTGATCACTTCAGCACGTGAATAAAGTAAAGGGAGCCTTGGAGGCTGCAAAAGTCTTCGTGAGCTTCAGGGATCGTACACTCTGGGGAGGCCATATGGAATCATGGAATGGAGATGGAGTTTCAGTGCTGGTGGAAGCCTTACTAAAGATGGAGGAGTCCAAACTGGAGAGAAGCCATATCCATGCATGGAATGTGGAAAGAGCTTCACCCAAAGTGGTCATCTTATGGACCATCAAAGGACCCACACTGGGGAGAGGCCTTACAAATGCATGGAATGTGGAAAGAGCTTTGTTGCCAGTAGCAGTCTTCATAGACATCAAAAAACGCACACTGGGGAGAGACCTTACACATGCATGGAATGTGGAAAGAGCTTCTGTGAGAGCAGAAATCTTCTTCAACATCAAAGAACCCACACTGGAGAGAGGCCTTTCAAATGCATGGAATGTGGAAAGAGCTTCAGTCAAAGTGGAAATTTTAATAGACATCAAAGGACCCATGCTGGAGAGAGGCCATACAAATGCATAGAATGTGGAAAGAGCTTCAGTGACAGTGGAAGTCTTACTCAACATCAAAGAATCCACACAGGGGAGAGACCTTACAAATGCATGGAATGTGGAAAAAGCTTCAGTGTGAGTGGAAGTCTTACTCAGCATCAAAGAACTCACACTGGGGAGAAGCCTTACAAATGCATGGAATGTGGAAAGAGCTTCAGTGGAAGTGGAAATTTTAATACACATCACAGGACCCACATTGAGAAGGGGACATACAAGTGCATGGAATGTGGAAAGAGCTTTAGGCAAGCAAGATATCTTAGTGCACATGAAAGAACCCACACAGGGGAGAGGCCGTACAAATGCATGAAATGTGGAAAGACCTTCAGTGAGAATGGAAGTCTTACTCGACATCAAAGAATTCACACAGGGGAGACGCCTTACAAATGCCTGGAATGTGGAAAGAGCTTCACTCACAGTGGAAAACTTAAAGGACATCAAATGATGCATGCTGGGGAGTGGCCATACAAATGCATGGAATGTGGAAAGAGCTTCAGTGAACGTGGAAATCTTAATAAACATCAAAGGACACACACTGTGGAGGGGACATACACATGTATGGAATGTGGAAAGACTTTCAGTCAAGCAGGATACCTTAGTGCACATGAAAGGACCCACACTGGGGAAAGGCCATACAAATGCATGGAATGTGGAGAGAGCTTCAGTCACAGTGGAAATCTTTATAGACATCAAAGGGCCCATGCTGGAGAAAGGCCATACAAATGCATGGAATGTGGAAAGAGCTTCAGTGACAGTGGAAGCCTTACGCACCATCAAAGAACCCACACTGGAGAGAGGCCTTACAAATGCATAGAATGTGGAAAGAGCTTCAGTAAACGTGGAAATCTTACTCAACACCAGAAAACCCACACTGGGGAAAAGCCTTACAAATGCATAGAATGTGGAAAAAGCTTCAGTCAACCAGGATATCTTTGTGCACATGAAAGGACCCACACTGGGGAAAGGCCATACAAATGCACTGAATGTGGAAAAAGCTTCAGTAAACGTGGAACTCTCACTGAACATCAAAGAACCCACACAGGGGAGAAGCCTTACAAATGCATGGAATGTGGAAAGAGCTTCAGTCGATGTAGAAATTTTAATACACATCAAAGGAGTCACACTGAGATGGGGACATACAAATGCATGGAATGTGGAAAGAGCTTCAAAGAGAAGCGGAATCTTCTTGTACATAGAAGAAGCCATACTGGGAAAACTAGATAGATGCATGAAACTTGGAAGGAGCATCAGTCACCATGGGACACTTACTAATCATCATAGAAAGCTCACTGCTCAGAGGCCCTGTATATCCATGCAGCATGGAAAGAGCTTTGCTTTTAGCTGAGGTCTTATTGTACATCAAAGAACCCATGCTGGGGAGAAGCCTTATGAATGCACTGAATGAGGAAAGAGGTTCAGCCTGAGTTGTCATCTTTCTGGACATCAAGGAACACACAAGGAGGGAACCATGCAAATACATTGCACATACAAAGAAGTCCAGTACCAGTGGAAGTCCTCAACATCAAAGCACACCCAGTGTGTCACAGCACTATCTAGGCATGGCATGTGGAAAGCATGTCCTTCGAGTTGGCAGTCCTTCTGAACATCAGAAAATCCACACTTGGTAGGAGCCATGGAAATCCATGCAGTGTGAAAAGTGGTTCAGCGATGGAGAACGTAGTTCCCAACGTGGATATCCCCACGCTGGAGGGAAGATGGTGCAAGGCATGGAATGTGGAGAGAGTTTTGGAGATGGGACAGGCTTCGTAAGCACCAAAGCACTAATATGGGTGTGAACCTACGCAATTCCCATGGGTGTAGCCAGAACTTTAGTGCTCATGGGGATTGTGCCCCACATGAATGAACCACATGGGAATAAACCCAGAATATGGGGAGTGTGGGAGGAGGTTCACTGTTGCCGGATGGTGTCCTGATCCCAGGGGTGCTGGGACAGAGCTCTGGGTTCTGGATGAATGTCCAAAGCCCGGTCAATATATGCTGCATCCTGAGATGCTGGAGATCCACCAGACCTAGTTCCACAAGGTATACTGAGAACCCTTCCGTTCTTTACTCACTGAATATATCACGTCATCCATGTCTTGGTGAGGCTGGGGTTTCTATTGGATTCCTTTCCTAGCTTGAGATTTGCAAGATTGTCCATCTGGAATTAAATGTGAATTTGCTTTCAGTGGGCTCCTCTGCTCATCAAAATAGATTTAATGAAAGCCCTTCACTTTTTCACTCAGTGTGTACATCACTTCCTTCCTCCATCCCTTTAAGCAGTTTGGAAACTCAGAAATTCAGTGCTCCCAATCAAAACAACAATTTGGCCATGGGACGGTTCAGAACTGGAAGGACTCAATTCATGAGCAGCCGAATTGGCCTGCTGGAACATCCAGGCAATGGTCAAGCGAAGAGACCAGTCTCTGGAGAAGTGTGTGCCCATTTTCTCAGGGACACATGGACAAGGGGGAACTGCTGTACCTCCTGGCATGAGGTGCCCTGCAGGCAGCTGGTTGCCTTTGGTGTAGGGGATGCTGGGCTGCCTGGAGCCCCATCTGAGCCAGCAGGATTCTCCTCTGGAGTTGGCTTCAGGCAGCTTCCATCCTCTGCTGAGCTTTCACATGGAGCAAAAGCAGGTGCAGGAAGGGGCTCGTGTCGCGTTGACCTAGCCAACGGTGGTTGCAGGGTGAGCGCACACAATGCAGGGGCTGGTGGGCAGTTGGTGGAAGCTCAGAGGAAGGCAGTCATGGTGGGCAGCTGGTTTGCCACTTGTGCGCCCAGCATGCTGGCATTCAGGGCCGTTCCACCGAGCCTCTTCTGAGGAAGAGATGGGGAATGCAGGCGGGGGAGAAGATGGGCTGCTTGGAGCTGAGCCATGGCTGCCTGGTGGGAGGTTTAGGACACGTCAGAGCTAGTCCTTTTTCACAGAACAGATCAGACAGGTGTTTCCAGCCAGGAATAGTCGCCCTAGTGAAAGTTACTGTATTTTTCCGTATATAAGACAATACTTTTTCTTAAAAATATTTACCTAAAAATGGAGGGGCATCTTATACCGGGGAGGGGGAGTGAGAGGAGAACGGTTGCGAAACTGCTGATACCTTATCTCTGCAAACTAGCCTCATGAGTGAAACTTCTGATTGGAGACACAAGTTAAGAGGTGTCCTCCCATCATGAGCCTTATGTAATTGACGTCAGCTGATGCAGCTGATGCAGTGGGGAGTGTGCAGCCAGTGCCCGGATGGGACAGGGAGCAGTAATGTTGGAATGTTCTGAGCCCATAAAAATGTCAGAAAACAAAACAAAAAATACACACACACACACACACAAAAATGGTACCGGTAAGCGAATGTCTTATTCTGCAAAATTTAAACTGGATGTAATCGGTTATGCAAAAGAGCATGGAAATAGAGCTGCAGAGAGACAGTTTGGACCTCCTCCCCCCTCTTGAGTGTATGATCGGACAGTGGATATCAGAAACGTGATAAAAGTGATGAAGAAAAAAATAGTGATAAGTGAAAAGACCAGAGGCTGAATAAAGTGATTTGCTCAGAGTTAAGTGTGACACATAATATTGGTACTGGTATGTAAATGTTGCCTAATTGCTAAATAAATGTGTTTAAAATATTGATTTCTGAATTTTGGGTAAGAAAAGTGGGGAGCGTCCTATACATGAGGGCGTCTTATAGATGGAAAAATACGGTATATGTTTTATATTTAGGAATATAGAAAGCTTTGCCTGCCTCGTGTCACACATACCTTCCCCCCTCCAATCTGGAGGATTGTTTCCAATCAGGTTCCTTCTCTGGGAAAAGGAGTCCCAGAGCCCCAGGATATGGGAACGATTCACCTGCTGGCTCATGGCTCTATAGGCAGAGCACAGCTGGCACTGGGATGATAGTAGGCAGCTAGTTTGAATATTTGAATAGGGGGCCAGCTCCTTGTTGCCTCCTGGAATTTCCTGCCTCAGACTCTAGAAAGCAGACTTTGAACCGTCAAATTCTGTAACATCTGAGTCTTTTACTTTGTTAATTAAGCCCATTATTGTTTTCCTGATGTGTTTTCCATATGATTGTTTTCCATATGATGTTTTCCTGATGTCGCCGATGATCATGTGATGTTTGTGTTGTACTTTTGTGCCTCTATATGGTTTTTGGCATATCACTCATTCAAAGTCTCCTTCCCCCTCCCTGCAAAGGTGTACATGGCCCCAACTCCATTAAACACTCTGTACATGTTCAGGTTCCTCATGGTCCTCGTTACCTGGATACCCCTCAGTGCTGTGGTAATTTAGGAATTTCTCTTCGCAGTAAAGCAGCTGCTGAGGGCTCAGTTGCACACTTCCACTGAACCTGGCCACACTCCAAGGACCTCTGACATCCTGACTTTGTGTGGCCGGAATGATGGACTGTATCAGCCTTCAGTCTGATCCAGCATGGCTCTTCTGATGCTCGGCTGTCTTGTACGGAGCAGAGGTTGGACCCCCTGTTTGTGTGGGGGTCCAACTCCCGCTGCTTGTGGGTCACGCTCACTGCTTCTCTGGGTCCCCCTTCTGGCACCAGGTGCAGAGGAGCTTGGGCATGCGTGATTCTGTGGCTCAGCTCCTGGGATGGATGCACTCCGTGCTTGGCTTGTACAGAGGTACCTCGGCTCACGGATGCCTCAGTTCACGACCAGATCAGGTTGCGAACAAAAATTTCATAAAAAGTTTGACTCGGGTCGTGAACTCCACATCGGGTGGCGACCGTGATCGTGGCCATTTCCCCTCCCACCCCCAAGTGGGGAGATGGCCAGGATCATGCTCGGGGTGGGGGGGGGATAGTGTCCGTCTCCCCCCCCAGTGTGCCTCCCCCCCCCCCCCGCAGCATGATTTATTTATTTATTTAAAACATTTCTATGCCGCCCCCATCGCAACAAAGCCTCGGGGCGGCTCACAACTGATTGTGCCTGTCTCCCCCACAGCTCACCCACATTCATGCCCATCTCCCGCCCCCCCCCCCGTGCCAGGATGACAGGTCCGTGCAGGGATGATGGGTGCAATCGCGGTGGTGCTGGGGGGTGGGGAGATGGCCATGGATCTTTGTTGTTCTTTGTCACTTTGCCTCACATTTTTGTGAGTAAAAAAAAATAGTTACGGAACAGGTTAACCTTATTTACATTGAACCTTGTGGAGAAATTTAACTTAGCTCATGACCAGTTTGGGTCATGACCAGAGTCCTGGAATGGATTAAGTTCATGAGCCAACGTACCACTGTAGTTTGGCAGACCCCCCCCCCCATGCAAAACCAGCGGAAATGCAGAGCATCCAGCTGCGCTTCAGGATCCGGCTTTTCCTGCCTTCCAAAGGCCTCAGTTTCCAAGGGGGTGGGTGGGGGAGGGGGCGCTTCTCCCCTCTGGAGAGGCAGGGAAGGGAGGACGGGCCCCCTCTGGTAGTCCTGGAAGAAAGTCGTCCTGCTGGCATCTGGGGCCCAGTGGGAAGGTGGGCTGATGGGAAGGGGAGAGGGGAGGGGTGGGGAAGGTGCCAGGGGGGAGAAGGAGGCTGGAAATGAGAGGGGTTGTGAGGTGGGGAGATCCCACAACTTCCCCTTGGCCTTGCAGTGGGGAGAGCACCCAACTTTGATCCCAGCTCCCTGGGCGCAAAGTGCCGCAGGGTTTGCACTGCGTGATCCTTCTTCAGAAGAACGCAAGCCCTGGGCTATGCAGGGGCAGGGGGCAAGACATGCACGGGGCAAGAAGAGGACGGGGTTCCTTCTGCCCCAACCCCATGGAAGCAAAAGCCACTCCTCAGGAGCGCCCGGCAGGCCCTGGGGCTCTTGCAGGAAAAGGGTCGCCCGCAGCAGAGGGGGCACTCACGTTCCTTTCGAGAAGAGGAATGGTGACCGAAGGGCCCAGCTGAAGCCCAGCAGGGGCTGCTCTTTGGGCAAGGATGGGACCTGCCCCGGAAGTCTTTCCGCTACTCTCTGGCTGGCGGTCCTCCTGTGATCGCAAGGGAGAGACCTTGCCGCTGCCCAATTTTGAAAGGGAAAAAAGCGGGCCGGATGTTGCAGCCGGCAGGTGGATGGATCCTCAATAGGCTGTCCAATTGGAATCAGTGGCTGTTCTTCAATGTCATATTACCTAGTTGATCAAAATTATTTCATTGCGCAGTTGGCTGTGCCCGATGCTGCGTATCTTCAGGAAAGCAGGACACAATGTTTTCACAACCAGGAAAGGAACACGTGAGTCACGCAGCCGGTCCCGGCTTGTGGCGCCATGCCTTGAAGCAGGGTCCGCTTTCTCGCCTTCCCACGTGGCAGGCAGGGGTGCTCACCTCAGCCCCGCATCCTGGAGGGCTCACCAGGGGATGCTCGCCCCCAAGAGAGGCAGGAAAAGAGCGGGGGAGGGGGCAGCTGGACACGCCGGACCTGCTGAGCGCAGAGCAAGACTGACCGGGAGGGGGGAATCCACGGCGGGGCGAAACGGCAGAATCGGGGACAGCGGGAGGGGGCGGGCAAGAGGCCGAGAGGAGGGAGAAGCAGGCTGAGATGTGGGGTG